GATAGATAGATAGATAGATAGATAGATAGATAGATAGATAGATAGATAGATCCTCTTTCTCAATACTTTTTTAAGATAGCTGTTAGGTTTCCCTGGGCCTCCTTTTCCTCATAGCCTTTAAACCAAAAGCTTTCGAGACATCATTCGTCCTGTCCCGTCTGTGACAGTCACTTAACTTTTCTGTCAATATCCTCTTCTGTGACATGAAGGGGAAAATGGAAGCATCTTCACTGAGGTGCTATGGGGACTACATGAGATAATATGGTGCTTAAAACGGTGACTGCCGTGTGCTAGGCACGCTCTGCCCGTTACCCAGTGTCTGTGTGAGCAGGTTTGCAGGCTCCTCGTCCTGCTGGCTCACCCTGGACCAAAGCTTGCCCTGTGTTAGCGACTGAGATTGAACCTGCACTCCAGCGGGACTTCCCACCCTGTAGCCACTCACTGAACATGTTGAAGTCATGTGAAGAGGGAAGTGTGTGGTACTGTGAGAAGAGCGAGAATGGAGAGGCCACACTGGGAGGGGGGGGGGACAGGGGACGGGCTGTCCCTTCCCCTGTCTCCACAGCCCTTTCATCTAGTTCTGTGGCATTCAGTACAGAAACGACCTAACAAGTTCAAAAAAGAGGTGACCTAGGGTAGATGGTAAAGACGTGTTTTTAAATTGAGATCTATCAACCTGTAAAACAGGAAAATCAACAAAGACTCAAATGAACAAAGACTAGCTCATTTAGACCTGAGGAAAGTGTTAGGGCTGTTCATCAGCTTTTCAGATTGACAGTCGCAAAAATGGAAGTAAAGGGTTTTGTTCAGAATGCGGGCACAGGAATGCCACGGCTTGAAGGATGTGAACAGGGACAATCCTGAGGACCAGGAGTTGAAGATGTTCGGAAGTAAGAAGACAGGAGGAGGGGAGGCACAGAGACTGACCTGAGCAACCCGAGCCGTGTGCTCCCTTAACGAAACGGTGCACAGTGGAAACTGGGTCAAGAAGACTGTTGGATAACCTGGTTGTGTGTGTTGTTTTGCTTTGGTGATGTGTAGTTGGAACATTATTGATAGGACAAAAGTCATCTCATGTCATTAAACACGACGAAGGTCTCACTTTGGGTGTAGAGGTTCAGTGGCCTTGCCTAAGATACTGGTGCCACTAAAGTTCATAAAGCTCCCAGCAGACAAACAGGTACACCGTTAAAGGTAGGCTCCATGTGCTCCGGATTGAACACACGCCTTTGCACATGCTCACCAGGTACCCTGCCACTGAGCTACACCTCCAAGCCACAAATCAAAGTGATAAAAAAAAAAAAATGTTTTGAGACAGAGCCACATCGTGTGGTCCAGGCCAACCCTGGATTACTGATTCTTCTGCTTCAACTTCGTAAATATTGAGATTCCGGATGTGTGGGAGCACACCTGGCTGCGAACATTTCTAAAGGATTGATTTCCTATGTGGAGAGACTGAAAAACATATATAGCGATTGGATCGCAGTTCAAATGACGATAGAACATATTAAGAAAAAGAATTTCAACTCCATGGAAAACAAAACCAAAAACTGTCCCCCTAAACACAGCCAGGGACTTACCATAGCACTTTCTGTCTTATTCGCTGTGTTCTGGCAGTACTAGACAACACAGTAGATCATTCAAAATAGCAGAAAAGCAAAGATGAAAACGTTGTTCAGGCTGTACTTTCTGACACTTTTGGATAGTCTTTGTGACTATCTAGAAGGCTATTATAGGCCATAAAAGAATCTAGTAATGATGATTAAATTTCTAATCACAAAAGTCATTGCTTTTCTATATATACTTGAGAACGTTTTTGAAAGTATAGTGGAAAGTATTTATTTCACGTTTTAGCAAAACAATCAACTATCTAGGAACACATTTGACATGAACTGTGCAAGAACTATCGAAGGGACATGCTGCTGTGGGATGCGTAAGAGTGAGGCTTCAGTGAATGCATGCACCTGCTCAAAGGAAGGTGTTCAGGTGCTCTGAACTGATGAGGCGCTGGCACAGGACCTCAGGGGAAAATACCAGCAGAACTGAGGAGGCGTGCAAACTGTCCTGGGTGTGGGGGGTAAAGCTGTAGAGCTCGAGGTAAAATTAGGAAAAGAAAGGTCGTTAGGCACGGTGGCATTGCCAGACAACCACTGTCCAATAATAACACCAATAATAATAACAGAAAAATTAAAGCCGGGGTGGGGGTGGGGGAGTGGGCCTGAGGAGATGGCCCAGTAGTTAAGAGCACCTGTCGCTCTTCCAAGAAGACCTTGGGTTCAATTCTTGGCACCCGCATGGAGGCTCACAACCATCTGTAAGTCCATTTCCAGAGGATCTGATGCCCTCTTCCGGCCTCTTTGAGCACCAGGCACAGACCGGCGTGCACATAAAACCTGCATACATGTAAAATAAAAAGAATAAAATCAAATTAAAAATACACAGGCGATCTGCATTAAAAAGCAGCGGTAGAGGACAATGGGGCATTTCAAGTCAGCATTGGTTAAAAACGGGGACCACTGACCAACCATCCAGTTCATACATTCTCTCTCTCTCTCTCTCTCTCTC